TCATTTCCTTTGGATATAGTCCCAGAAGTGGGATTGCAGGATCATATGGTAGTTCTATTTTTAATTTTTTGAGGAACCTTCATACAGTTTTCCATAGTGGCTGCACCAGTTTACATTTCCACTAACAGTGCACAAAGTTTCCCTTTTCTCCACATCCTCATCAACACTTGTTATCTCTTGTCTTTTTGATAATATCTATCCTAAGAGGAGGGAGGTGATAGCTCATATGGGTTTGGTTTGCATTGATGATTAGTGATGTTGAGCCTCTTGTCATATACATATTGGCCATCTGTATGTCTTCTTTGGAACATTGTCTATTCAGGTCCTTTCCCCATTTTTTAACTGGGTTATTAAAAAAATTTGCTTTTGCTATTGAATTGTATGAGTTTCTTATATATTTTGGGGATTAACCCCTTATCAGATATGTGGTTTGCAAATATTTTCTCCCATTCCATAGGTCGCCTTTTCGTTTTGTCGATGGTCTCCTTTGCTGTGCAGCATTTTAGTCTGATGCAGTTCCACTTTTTAAATTTTGCTTTTGTTGCCTATGTTTTTGGTGTTATATCCAAAAAATCATTGCCAAGACCACAGTCAAGGAGCTTATCCTTGATGTTTCCTTCTAAGAGTTTTATGGTTTCAAATCTTACATTTAAGTCTTTAATCCATTTCAAGTTAATTTTTGTATATGATGTAAATGAGGGTCCAATTTCATTCTTTTGCTAGTGGATATCTAGCTTTCCCAACACCTTTTATTGGAAAGACTATCCTTTCCCCATTGTGTATTTTTGGCTCCCTTGTCAAAGGTTAGTTGACTGTATATACATGGATTTATTTCTGGCTCTCTATTCTGTTCCATTGGTCTATGTGTCTGTTTTTATGTCATCACCATACTGATTTGATCACTATATCTTGGTAATATAGTTTGAGATCAAGAAGTGTCATGCCTTTAGCTTTATTATTTCTCAAGATTGCTTTGGCTATTAAGGGTCTTTTGTGGTTCCATATGAACTTTAGGATTGTTTTTGTATTTCTGTGAAAAATTCTATTGGAATTTTGATGGGGATTGTATTGACTCTATCGATTGCTTTGGGTAGTATGGACATTTTAGCACTATTCTTCCAATCTGTGAACATGGGAAATCTTTCCATTCATTTGTGTCTTCTTCAGTTTCTGTCATCAATGTCTTATAGTTTTCAGTAAACAGATCTTTCGCTTCCTAGGTTAACTTTATTCTTAAGTTTTTTATTCTTTTCGATGCTATTGTAAATGGGATTGTTTGAATGGCAAGTGTATGGAGAGGGAGAGGGTACGGTGAGCTGCTGAACTCTATAAAATTGCCAAATGTGTCATTAGCATTTCCCCATCATTCCTTCCTCAGTTACGTGAGTCCTGTGCTCTCATGGCCTCATGGTACCTCTGATTACTCTAATTTACCAGAATTCTGCACTTTCCAAAATGCTCCATTTTAGAAATTTATTCCTCTCTCTTTCCTGTTCATCAAAACACTAATTCCTTCAGTAACCTCTCATCTGATAAAGTATTAGGAGGAAATTATGAAATTAATTATATAAATTATATGATTAAGGTTATTTACAATAAAATTATTTATTTATTCAGTTATATAAACTCAATAAATATTTATTAAACATTTAAATGCTAGTTCTGCTAAGTACAGAATTTATGCCATGCCCCATCTTGCATGTTTTAAGCCAGCAATTCTGAATTACATAAAGATCTCGGAGTAAACTAGTTGATTCCTCCATGCCTTTGCAAATGCTATCATCTCTATGTACACTGCCCTACCTACTTTTCTTGCATAATTCTTTTCATTCTTCAAAAATCAGCTCTGATGTCAAGACTTTGCAGAAGCCTTTTTATTGTCATCCTTCTCCTAATTACTCCCTCCATTTTTGAGCTAAATCTAAGCCTTGGGTGTCACACTGTGCTCCCTTTGTTTAAGCCTATCTTCTTTTTGAGTCTGTGAGCTCTTTCATGCAGAGATTAGGAATTATTCATCCCCCAGGTGGGCCCATAAGTAAAGTACTCAACGGGAAAAACTGAACGAAATTGACAAAAATGTAATATTTCTCTGCCTTCTTAAACAGATGATAGTGAAATAAACCTTTTTTGGTAGCTCAGGTTTATCACTACAGATTGTGAATTATTGTACAATGTTGCAACTTAGTGTTTCTCTGCTTGCCTTTAGAAAAGACGATCGAAGATGTCGGTTTTGTTCTAGGTAGTCTCTGCTTTCAATTCTTTTTATTTTTTCTTCCTGCATGTCAGTCTGTCACCCCTCCAGATTTTTATGGTGTCAGTGTACCTACTTTTAACAGCCCACCTCTTCTCTTTCCCTTCCTTTCAAATGATCACATTCTAATTTCCAGGCTGGGAACTGAGAGACCTGAGTTTATGAGAATAAAGGAAAGGAAAGGACTGTGATAGACTCTCCTACCAATACCTCAAGCTTAGCTCGCAGACTTTGTAATAACTTTGTATTATTGCTTTCAAGCCTTTTACACTTGTTTTTGTTTGCCACTAGATTGATTCTAGGTGGTTGAGTAACTGGAACTCTGACTTCCATTTAAGTGGGACACGTTTCTGAATTTAACATCTATCCATTCCACTTTTAATGCTCAGTCAGTTACATAACACAAGGGCTCTATAATTGCAATGTTCAACATACATTTCTTTGAAATTGATACTTTAAAATCTAGATCTTTTATACTCAAAAACTGATAACGTAGGGGATATTTTTACTTGTAGAATTCCATACATAGTTAAAAATTTTTCTTATTTTCATTTTGGACATTTAAAGATATTCTAGAACCTTTCATCCTTTAGGAAAACTATGTAATGACAACAGGCACCATTCATTCAGCCCTTTGTATGCATCAGGCACTGTGCTGAGCACATGGATTACCTCACTAATCCTCACAATCCTAAATGCGACCATCATTATCTCTATTTATAGATATGGCAACTAGACTTAGAAATTAAATCTTCTATAGCTAGCTAAGCACAGGAGACAGAATCCACATATTAATCAATCTTAAAAACCAATTTCTAACAATATTTTCAACTTTCCAGTTATGGTTTGCTCACTATTCCATTAACAATTTTTGGTAACATTTTTATTGTTGACATATAATTCATATACCATACAATACACCGTTCAGCAGTCACCCACCCATTTTCTTCTGAAAGCACCCCCCACCCCAGCCCTAGGCAACCACTAATCTACTTTCTGTCTCCATAGATTTACCTCTTTGGGACATTCAAATAAATGGAATCAATATGTGGTTTTTGTGTCTGGCTTCTTTCACTTAACATAATGATTATGTTTTCAAGGTTCATCCATGTTGTAGTATTTATCAGTATTTCATTTCTTTTTATAGCTGTAAACTTTCCATTGTATGGATTTACCACATTTTATTTATCCATTCATCATTTGATGGATGTTTGGGTTGTTTCTACTTTTTGGCTATTATGAACAATGGCACCATATCCCATTAATATTTGCAAAAACTTAAAATATTTGGGAGGGTCAGTGGAAAAAATTTTAAACTAAGAGTTCTAAAACCTAAAGTCTACTTTAGCTTTGGTAGTAATTCCACGGTCACTAAAGATTTGACTAAAATTCCTTTGACTTTCAACGGTCAATAATTTTATATTTTTTGTCTTTTTCAAGTGTTTGGCCTAAAACCTAAGCCCTGCAGCATAAGAAACATTAGGTCGTTACAACTATAAATTCTACACCACAGCTAGGAATTGCACTCATTATTGCAATTCATTTTAACCTTACATATTGTTTATTTTTTTAAACTTAGTCTACTCTACAATTTGAAGAATACTTAAAAATTCAATTTTACATTGTCCCTCCTTGGAGAAAAGGTGCTCTCCATCACATCAAATGCTAGAAATTCTAATAATAAACAAAAAAATAATCTGAATTTATGGATTATAATGACGAAAATTTTTCATTTCTCCCCTTTATTTCTGGCGGGGAACAGACAGTTTCTAAATTCTTATTACTTCTCACCGCAATGTAAAATTCATCTTGCTTCTTTGTACGTTAAGACGACGTTTAAAGATGATTTGGGAAAATTCTAGTTGACCCTTCTGACATGCTTGAAAACTGGAGTAAACATCCTATTTCTTTTGACCACGCTCTTGGATAAATAAAGTTTTGGTTCTGATGCAGGATAAACAAAACAAAACCTCGGGTCAAAAATCTGGTAGCAATTTGCTTAGCTACTAGTGAAAACTGAAACTACTTTTTGACGTTAACGGCGAAGAAAATAACATACAGAAATATACTTCTAAAAGTTGTTCTAATTCCAAAGCTGGCGAGAGACAGCTACACGTAGAAAATCCACAACCACGAGGGTGACCCTTCGCCAGTTCCTACCAACGCCTGCGAAACTCGCGGGCGACGCGTAGGTTTCTCGGTTGTCTCCTCTGGAACCGCAGGCCGACACACCCTTCCTAGGCACCAGCAAGAGCGCCTGGAGCGGGAGAGTCAGGCCGTCGTCTGCGCCTGCGCGGACCCACCGCGCCCTCGTAGTAAGAGAGGCCCGGATGCAGGACGTGGAGACGCGCCGTTGCCATGGCAGCCGGGGCCTGGCAGCCGTGAGAGCGGCTGCTGGGGTCTCCCTCGCCTCATTGGCAGAACTTAGAAAGAGGAAGAGAGGTGAACTCCCCGGCCAGCTGTGTGACCCCAGCCGCTGCGTCTTACACAGGCAGGAGGGGATACACAGGGAGAGACGGGAAGGATGATGCGGAGATATTTATGGTGGGAAAGAGGGTAAAAGGGTGAAAGTCTGGGACAGCTGAGAGGAAAGGAGTAGAGAAGCGAGGGAGGAGCCTTCCTGTTGGCGCCTCGTCCTTCCGAGCCTGGGGTCCACCAAGCCTGGCAACTTCTTGCTTCGCGTTGTGTGGGGGAAACTCCTCTGAGGGTAGCTTAGTCTCTCATTTTTGTCATATTCCTTCCCCTCTCTGACTTCTCATTCCTGGGAGAAAAAGTCACTCTTGAAATGTTGGCTTTCATGAAGAGGCTAAGGTATTCATTTAATTGGTGGTACCTTGGGACCCGGGGTACAAATTAAAATTATCACCTAATGTTTATTATTATTGTATTAAATATTTTGTTTATTAAAAATATTTATTAATTAAATAATTAGATACTATTTATCGTCATGCTTTGTGATAGATTATGAATTTTTTTTTAAAAATTTACTCATGGGATCAGTCTTGTTAAAATGCAGGAGGAAGAATGGGCCAGGTCTCATGATGTATTATGGGTTAGCTTTTGCTTAAGTACTTATCTTATATTAAAAGACTTTCTTTTCGCCATTCTTTCAATTCTCTTAGATTTTAAACAAGCATATATTTAAAAGGCTATGAGATAAGTGGAGTCAATGAAGTAGATTAAACTATTTTTGAGTGTTCTGAATCCTGAAAGAAAGTTATCAAAATTGTGTATACATATGGCCTTAGCTTAGACTCACATAAAAGATCTGCAGTCATGTACCCACACGGGATTTAGCAGACACCCAGGAGGAAGGAATTAATTTCTTTATTATTTTTTTTTTTTAAAGATAACTTTTTGTGTGTGTGTGTGAGGAAGATCAGCCCTGAGCTAACATCCGTGCTAATCCTCCTCTTTTTGCTGAGGAAGACTGGCTCTGAGCTAACATCTATTGCCAATCCTCCTCCTTTTTTTTTCCCAAAGCCCCAGTAGATAGTTGGATGTCGTAGTTGCACATCCTTCTAATTGCTATATGTGGGACTCGGCCTCACCATGACCCGAGAAGCGGTGCGTTGGTGCGTGCCCGGGATGCGAACCCGGGCTGCCAGTAGCGGAGCGTGAGCACTTAACCGCTAAGCCACGGGGCTGGCCCAGGAATTAATTTCTGTCTCTTATTACAGTTCCTTATTAAGAGGGTGGTTCTGGTGTAAGCCACTTACATAGATTTTTACTGGTGATAAACATTGAAAGTTAAATGAATGAAACTAACAAGGAATAAGTGTTAGGTGATTCAGTTTGTGTAAGATGTAATTTTGTTCCAGCATGTTGACTGTGTACCATATGGCCAGTACCCTGGCGATGAAGATTAAAAGAAGTGAGAGGGATTGACTATCCTGTGACGAATTTGAAAAAGGCTTAAGGGATTTGGTAACAAGAGTTTGTGATTTATGTTCTTTCTTTACTTCCGGACCAGCCTTGAGTTTTTTGAAAATATAGGAAAAGAATGGCCCTTCAAATTTGATGCAACTTCATTTACTTCTCAGTCACTTCAATTATGGCTTTTTTTCTTTTTATTTATGGCATAATAGTATGATTTAATAATACCTAATATGTTTAATTTGTAATCCCTTTATTTTTATTTAATATGCTAATTCTGTGTTTTAGTTCTAAATTTGAGTTTTCACATGGGTAGGATTCTTTGTAAATAATAAAGTGTATCTACTAAAGTCTCCAGGCAGCCATTTATTTACAAGTTCAGAACTAGGTTTATTGTAAAATTAAGGGAAAGCCCTGAAGAGTTCCATAGGAATCTTATTCTAACAATTAGTTATGTAACTTAAACATCTTAAAATAATAAATACCCAGATCCCTGGTCTGAAAAGAAAGCTCAGTATCCTAAGGTATTTATGACTGTGAAAAATAGTATTATTTATACAAGTATTTTGGGTCACAATGAGTTCTGGTTTATTCTACATCATTCATGGTACCCTTACTTTTAATTGGTAGGTAGACATAGCAGCTTACCTAATTTAACCTGTCTTGCAGCTAGGCAGTGGTAAATAAACTCACGCTGAAATAATGGTTTGGTTTCTCTAGGTCACCTCAAAATATTGCTCTCAACCTCTGCTTTACAAATTATTGAAGTCTTACTTTGAGTCCTTTAAGAAAGTCCATTTTGTATTCTTAGGTTAAAAGAAATAAATATCTAAAAGGAATTATAGTCCAACTAATACATTAGGAATAGTTATAATTATGTCATATTATAAATATGACTAATTATTATAATTAATTATAAATATGACATATTATGTCATATTATAAATATGACTAATTAGGTTGAATAATTAACATTCAGTGTACCTAAAACTAACTTTGTCTCGAGAGGGAAAGGGAACCAATATCAAGAACTATCCAGAGAAAAGATTATATTTAAAAGAAACAGACTTCAGAATTTTTTTTGGTGAGGAAGATTAGCCTTGAGCTAACATCTGTTGCCAGTCCTGTTTTTGCTGAGGAAGATTGGCCCTGAGCTAACATCTGTGCCCATTTTCCTCTATTTTATATGTGGGATGCCGCCACAGCATGACTTGATAAGTGGTGAGTAGGTCCGCGCTGGGATCCGAACCTGTGAACCCTGGGCCGCTGAAGCAGAGTGTGTGAACTTAACCACTACGCCACCAGGCTGGCCCCTTCAGGATTGTTTTAAGTCTTGAATTTAATTATTCAGACACTGATCATTTATTTTAGATTAAGCTTTATCATGGTACTATGCATTTGCTTTTAAATTCTCTTGCTCTTCATGAGTTGGCAGTTATTTGCTAATTTGCATCTTGTAGAAAAGGTTAAAAAAAACCTTAAGGGTCCTCTCACCAACCATTTTTCTAAAGCTTCACTCTCCTTTGCCATTGACAGGAAACACAACACTCACTTCACTTCAAGACAAGTTTGAAAATGTGAATTCTGTCTTACATTGCCGAAATTTGTTCCTGAGTTTCCAGCCCTTGATACTAGTTTTACTACTTGAAATTTTACAAGTCCAACCCTCCTTCACATGGCAGCCATTTAAATTTTATAAAGCAGTTGTCATGACTCCTGGGTTTTCTCTTTAGGCTAACATTCCCAGGGTTTTCAAGTATTCCTCAGAATCTGGTTTGAAGGCATTTTACTCTCATGGCCTACCTGCTTCCCTTCTTCTCTTTTGTCCCCCTTTCTCCTGGTTTGCTAGCCTCTGAATGTGTTCCAGCTTGTTTTTCATTCCTTAAACTGTAGCACAGGAAACTGGATAGAGTGCTTCATAGGTTATAAATGTCTCACCGATAGTCTCAGCCTACATTGTCTATATCTGACCCGTAGTCTCAGCCTTGAAGCTCATTTGCATTTTGGGTGTCCTTATCATTCTTTTAACTCATTTTGAACCTGCTGTTCACTAAAACCTATTAAAATGTTTTTCACACATAGCCCTGAAAAGCCATGTCTCTTTGCTTAGCTAGTGCTTGTGCAGCCAGTGGAAAGATGTTCTGCCTCGTGCTTTCACTGTCGTTTGATGGTGAACAGTGGCAAGGAAAAAATGTAAATCTCGCTTTAGTAAAATTGGTGCCAGATTAGGTAGTCTGGTCAAAGGTTTGGGGAGAGTAAGGTGAAGCCAATGGCCAAAACAAAGTTTGTGGGTAATTTATTAATTCAGGCATAATAGCTCTCATTTTATGTCTTTAAAAATGTGCGTAGGTCTCACGTGTTCTTGACATCTGTACTTTCTGCTTCCAAAAAGGGCTTTATGCACCTTATTCTTGGTATAGGAGCACCAGAAGGCAGGTGTAGAAAGAGGGTCCCAGGTGCTTGGGGCCCTGAAGATCAGATTTCTACAGTTCTTTTGAAACTGTACCTGAAATTCTATGTCCATTTAGGGAGCATTGCTCTTTTTGTTTTTGTTTTTGTTTAAGTCAATAGTGGAAAATGTTCAGATTATTACTATATATTTCTACCTTTGGCTATTTCATGGCAATAAGATCTACATAAACAATTTTCCCTCAACCCTTTTCTTTTTGAAAACATAATATGATATCAAACTGACCCCTTCTCACTCCTTCCAGACCTTTCTTCAGGAACACATTTATGTTCAGGCCACACTGGACTTCCATGTTGTTTGTTCATTCTCATTCTGTTCTCTTTGTCTGGAGTAACTGATAAACTTGGATGCCCAATATTCAAAACCCATCTCAGCTTTCCTGGATTATTTCCCATTTTAGACTGAGTTAATTGCTTTTTTTATTCTTGCTTCCACAGTCCTTTGTGTATACCTTTATTCCATTTATCTACATTTCCTATTTATATTTTTTATCTACATTTTTAATTTGTGCGTTTTGTTTATATTTGTCTTCTATACCAGACTACAAGCACCTCAAGGGCATAGGTCTATTTTATAGTCTTTGTAGGAATAGATATAGGAATATTGTAGGTGTTGAAAATGTTTGTCAAAATTGTAACATATATATATATGGGATACTCACACACATATACAGACACATTATGGGTAAGGATTTATATGCTTCTTTTGTTTGAAAATTATGCACAAAAAATTAGCAGGGCTGGTAACTGACCTCAATTTATAGATAACTTTAGCTTAGTTCTCTTAAAAATGACTGAATTTATACACCATTTTCACAAACATTTATTAACTTTCATCTGACAGCCCTACTTATTGCCACTGCTTTCTAGATAGTTTTAGGCATCACAGTTTCTTTTTTTAATGAAAAGTAATGTTTTATTTAGAGTTGACAACAGTTTGACCTCAGTGGAAATCAGCATTTACCATAAATGAGAATCAGTTATTACTTAGTTAAAAAGCTCCCAGATCGCAAATTATAGTTATGCCGTATAAATTACTAGAAGTATTGAGAAACTGAGGATGGGAACTGATATAATTGTTTTCATTTGAACATAAGAACATGTGAATGAGACTAAAAAGCTAAGTCATCTGCTCTGACCTTGTCAGGGAGTTTTAATGATTGGCAGGGGGATGTGGAAAATCCTTCTTTAAGCCTCAGATAGTCTTCTTATCCACCTTTTTTAGTCTCCTTGCAAATTAGCATTTCAGGATTTGAGAGAAGGTGGGATGGTTATTAGGAGTGTTACACCTAGAAAATGTCTGGCCATCGTAAGTCTCTCTTTTGGGGTATACAGATATATATTTACTCTAAATAGTCCATTCTTTGTGTTTTTGTGTGTTAATTAGCTTACCTTCAACATTAATCTCCATACTCCACACTACCTCTAGACTGGACATAACATATACCTATCTCTTTTAATCTTATAGAATTATTCTTTAACTAATGGAAAATGGAAGAAAATAAAGATACTGATTCAAAAGAAAGTGGAGAATATGAAGAAGACTTTGAAAAGGACCTGGAGTGGTTAATTAATGAGAAAGAAAAAAATGGTGCCAGCATAATGGAGGTATATATAAATTGCCAACAGCATTCATAATAATTATGTTAAAATGCTTTGTAATTCTTGAAGAGTTTTGCAGTATATATATATATATATTTTTGTGTGTGTGTGAGGAAGATCATTCCTGTGCCAACATCTGCCAATCCTCCTCTTTTTTTGCTGAGGAAGACTGGCCCTGGGCCAACATCCATGCCCATCGTCCTCCACTTTATACAGGACGCCACTACAGCATGGCTTGCCAAGTGGTGCGTTGGTGCGTGCCCAGGATCCGAACCGGCGAACCCCGGGCTGCCGCAGTGGAGCACGTGCACTTAACCGCTTGCGCCACTGGGCCGGCCTCAAGTTGTGCATATATTATCTCATCTAAACCTCACAAAATTCCTTTAATTTACGTAGAACAAGTATCATTATCCCCATCTTGGAGATGAAAAAGTTGAGGCACGGAGAGTTTAAGTGTTGTATCCTGAAGCATAGGGCTAATTAGTGAGAGAATAGGGATTAAGTTAGTGCTTCATAAAGCTAAAATTATAATTTATGTAATATAAGTAAATAATATAATTTACTGCATCAAAAGTAAAAACAAATACAGTTAATTTCTACTTTATATGCACGTGGGTAAAATCACAGGGTTATACTTTTAATATAAATGAAAAATAAAGCAAGCCCTCAAAAAACATGGTCTTTCAGCTAATATTTGAAACCGTAAGAGTGAATTAACTCTGCAGGGGAATGAATACAGAGAAAAAAGTAAAGGGTCAAAGACTGAGCCGTAGGAATACTTGTGGGAAAAAGTGGATCCATTAAACATGATCATATACCACTTATCATACATGTAGAGGGGAAATCCAGGAAAATGAAACAGTTCCTAGATCATGGAAGGTTCCTTTTTTCTCTCTTTATGTATATATAATGTGTATGTGTATCTATATATAATGTATATGTGTGTGTGTGTGCATATATATGTATAATATAGATATAATTAGTGTCAATAAGTAGGGAAGTGATGAAGAAAAGACTAAGACTGGGATAAGAACAGGTGACTTTAGAGGAACAATGATCAGAGTAGTTAGAGCAGAAGCAAGATTTAAGAAGCTTAAGGACAAGAATATGAGGAAGTGAAGGCAGCAGGTTTTACGTCACAAACTTCTCTTAGTTCCATCTTGCTCTCTTATGCAATGGAGAAGACAAATGGCACAGATGATATTTGAAAAAGGCAACAGAGTCAAAAGTGAATATTTTTCTAAGATGGCTTTTAAATGGGAGATTTATGCATCTTTAATAGAAAAATAATCAGATGAGTAGAGGTAGAGATACCCAGAGTGGTAAGTTTCAACCTAGTCTCATGACTGGAAGGGTGTGATATCTAAAGCACAGGGTGATAGAATCAGAGGAGTGATGATGATGATTCATTGTTCCATTTCTGTAGTCATTCAACAAATATTAATGATCGCTTACTGTGTGTCAGAGGCTGTTCTAGGTATTGGGGATGCAGCAATGGTCAAAACAAAGTGCTCTCATGAATCTTACTCATTCCAGTGGGTGATTACAATCCCTTCTTCCTTTGAGGCTGGTAGAAAAAATGGATGAGAGAGCTGGAGACAGGGATGAGGGTCAGGGGAAGATTTCATTGTGAGAAGTGGTAGTTTTTATTGTAGTGGGGTTTAAAAAGAAAAGAAGTGAAAGCTGAAGGAGAATTTGGAAACAGATACTGTAGGAATACATTAGAGAATCAAATAAGGCTAAAAAGAACAAGTACAATGGAGATATCTTAGTTTAACCTTAGTTATTTGGTCGTCATTTTAATGGGTCAGGTTTATTTGCTTATTGGACATCTAGCCATGTTGTACAGGTTAGGAAGAGGAGGCTGTCAGAAAAGATGACCTGTGAACAAGTAAAACAGGAAGAGAATTTTAAGGAGTTGAAGAGAGCAGTAAGTAGTAGCTCCCATAAAAGTATTTTAGGAGGAAGGGAATTGTCTGAGAAAGAGAAAAAAATGACATATTATAGGGGTAAAGTGTTTGGTGGGTGAGGATATACTTTTGTGAGAGAGATGCTAGGTAAGAAGCTTTTAGTTAGAAATAGCAGATGTGGAGCAGGGTTTTGTCATGTGATAATACTGGTTTATGTAGACTTAAATTTTTTTAAAAAAAATATAAGACCAAGTTATATGATGGTGTTTAGCATAGATTATTGGAGGATAGTTGAGGAAGGAAAATCTAATCTAGAGGTAAAAATTGACCTGAAATTTAGATATAGGTCCTGCAGAAAATAGCAGCAATGATAATCTGAAAAGATTATAAGAAGCTCAAAATAATTAGGACTTGACCAAAGGCAATTACCTTGTAATGGTCCTGGGGAGAAAGGTTCTTTTTTGAAGAATACAAATATTACAAGGAGAGAACATTTTCAGGCATATTATTCTGAAAATGTAAAGGAAGGAAAATTTTGTAGAGGGAGGAATATTAAAATAATATTGTGTTATTTGTAGTTACCTTTTCATGCATTAGCATACAAAATTTAAAATATCAATATTTTAGCTTGATATTTAGAGAAAAGCTAAATCAATAGCACTTAGCAACATCCAATTCAAATTTAGAGTTATATTTTTCCCGAAGTGCTGTTGTCACATGTCACCCTTGGGGTGCTCATAAATGTGATTTAGAAGATTATGAGTGAAGTATGAGCAAGAAGCCTGTAAATTTTCCCACTCATAAAATAAATTATATGAATATGAAAATCCATTTTGGATTGTCTACATATAAATGGACAAAGAATCTCAATTTTTAATGAAAAAGAGAACTTCCTGTCTTTTTTTTTAGATGGCTTGTGGGAATGAAGAGAATATTAACCAAGAATTAAAAGAGAATGAAACAGAAATAGAACACACCAAACAGCTTTCTGATCCTGACAAATCTTTGAAGGATGAGGTTTCATCAAGAAGAAATGACTTCATTTCTGTACCAAGTATTCAACCTTTGGATCCCATATCAGATTCAGATAGTGAAAACTCTTTCCAGGAATCCAAACTGGAAAGCCAGAAAGACCTGGAAGAGGAAGAGGATGAGGAAGTAAGGAGATATATTATGGAGAAAATTATACAAGCCAACAAACTTCTACAGAATCAAGAACCTGTGAATGATAAAAGGGAGCGAAAACTTAAGTTCAAGGACAAATTAGTTGATCTGGAAGTTCCTCCACTGGATGACACTGATACTTACAAAAATCATTTTGAAAATGAAAGAAATGTATCTGGAAAACTGTCACAGTTATGTATTTCCAATGAATTTGGACAAGAAAATGTGCTCCTGTCACTGACTGATGGAAGTTGTGAAGAAAACAAGGATGGGAAGATACTAGTAGAGAGAGATGGAAAGTTTGAGCTTCTGAATTTACAAGACATTGAGAGTCAGGGGTTTTTGCCTCCCATTAATAATGCTAATAATACAGAAAAGGAGCCTCAGCAGTTATCACCCAGATCTTCCAACTCATCTGTCAGTGGTGTCAAGAAAGAAGAGCCTATAACAAGGATTCATGCTATGGCTCACTCATCAACAGAAGAGACCGTGGCTTATATCCCTCAACCACCTCCCAACCCCAAGACTCGTCCAAGCTCTGCGGCCAACTCAGATCGAAGTAAGGGGAATGGAAAATCTAATCACAAGACACAGTCTGCAAATATATCTCCAGTGACCTCAACATATTGTCTTTCCCCTCGACAGAAAGAACTGCAAAAACGGCTGGAACAAAAGAGAGAAAAGCTAAAAAGAGAGGTGAGAGCACAAGTGGGCATTATACAGAAAGTAGAATACGGTTTCATGGTTTATAAAAATGCAGTCAGAATTGAAATGGTTCTTCAAAGTATTGGATGTACTTGCTTGTTTGTTTTGTTTTTCTATTGTTAGATTAAGTGGTTAAGTGTTAGGAATGTGATTTATGGAAGAGACATCATGATTACTTTGGTTCTTGGTTGTAAGGCTCACAAAACATAGTAATGACCTGTGTTAGAGCTAGAGTAGATCTCATGATGACTTCATCTGACCATTTCATTTTAAAGGTGAGGCTCAGAGAGGTTAAGTGGCTGCTGAATGTAATCTTGATATGAGAGAGATGAAAATTAGATGTCAGATGGAAAAAGGAAGGCACAAATTTGTTGGGGTTTAGGAGGCATCAGGCAGACTTGGATTATAATTCTCTGATGTGTGTTTCATATATCTTCCATGCCTACAATTCCTTGATTTCAGGGATTTTAGTTTTTAGATAAGAATAGAGCCTAATAACCTTAATGAAATGTCTCAAAAATGCCATATGGAATCCCAAATTGTTTTTGGGTTTTTTTTTCCCTCTTAAAAAAAGTAAAAGTATTTTATAATTGAAAATTCCAGATACTAAAACTAGTAGTGAGTTTTCTCTCAATTACTTAAATCAGTGCCTCAAGTCTCTGTTTACTGGATACCTAATGGTATTAAGCTGAACCATACAAATGTCTACCTGTAAATACCAAACCTCAGCAGAATCACAAGTTGATAGAATTTTACAGTTAGAAGAAACCTTAAAGGTCATTTTACATATAAGAAAACCATAGTCTAGAAAGTTTAGATAACTTTACCAAAGTCACTCAACTTGTTTATAGCAAACTTGAAGTCAAAAATCCCAGTTTTCTTGGCATCCATTGAGAAACGGTGTATTTTCTGTTTATGTAGGAAATTAAAATTTCTGGCATTTAAATCAGGAACTTACATTAGCAGAAAAAGGTGAAAAACAGAGTTGGCAAGAACGTGTAACCTGTAGAACACTCTGGCAGGAATCTGAAAGGGTGCATATTTAATAAAGTTTTGCCTTCTTGACCACTAAAATCTGAAGTCAGACTCAGTTTACTTGGTTCAAGTATATAACAGTACTTAAAAGCATCTGTTAACTCAGAACTTTATGACAATACAAAAGAATTTATTGAGAATGACTGAACTATATAATGTTTGCTGTACACATGTGTACATGTACATATATGTTTGTGTGTATATTTCTATAAAAGTTATATAGGAGATTTTATATAATTTCAGTGTCTTTTCACTAATCAACTAATGGTAATCCTTAACTTGTGTGACTGGTAGATAGTTCCATTTTCATTCTGATGCTCTTTTCTGGGTGTCACATACTCTTGTTGTGGAATACGCTTTTCTCATGTCAGGATCCTCATAACTAAATTTCCTTTTGCTTATGTAGTTGCTCATGGTCTTTAAGGCATGGTCTTGAAGTGCTATGGCTTTTTTATATTTTTTAGTTAGTTTCAGGGGAAGGCTTTCCTTTTTTATGCCTGAGCAAATATTTGCTGGGTTGAGCTGCTATACTCTCTTGCTCTTTTCTAAGTGCCTCATTTCACTGTTCTCTTCGGCAAATGCGTTATCTGTGCTTTGGCTGATATCTTCTGTGTAATATATCTAAATAATAATCCCTCTGGAAAGATAATCATCTTACCTTACTGTCTGTATTCATGCAAGGCATCCCAAGTCCTTTTTGTAAAAAGGAACTTATAAATAAATGTAAAATTTAATCTTTAATAAATTCACATTTTATATAATGTAAGCTCCTTTAGGGCTTAGAAGATAGTACACAGGTATTTTAAAAGATATTTTATGTTGTTAATTAGATAGAATTTTTCCTTTCCTTCCTATGTTTTGTTCAGTCAAAAGGAATTAGAAGGGCTTGTTGTATTATCAAAATGTAAGGAAAGAACTCTGAATTCCATTATTTGAAGAAAATTGAAGCTTGGATTGTATAATTCAGCTCATTTAAATGATAAAATTTTAGTATTGGAAGAGACTTAAGAGCTTGTTAAACCACTCCATTTTATAGATGAGACTACTCAGTTAGATGGTTTGCCCAAATTGACATAGTATGATGGCAGTATGATTGTTACTTAGATCTCCTAACTTTTAGCTTGGTGCTGTTTCCACTATGATATGCTGCTTTGCTACCAATAACTATTTTAGAGCTCTACAAACCTGGTTTAAGCACATCCCTTCACGTTTAAGTCACTCTATTTTATAACATTAGCTGACTAATTTGGATTAAGAAATTCGTTTTGTACTTACAGTTGACTGTCTAAATATTGTTCTGATAGCAAAATGTTACTTTATGAATATACACTAGTTGAAAATATTTTTAAGCATTATAATAAAAAAAATTTGAACACACGTAAAGGTACAATTAACCCCTATGTTCCCAACACCCTGATTCAAAAGTCATTGAGATTTTGGCATATCTGCTTATCTCCTCCTTTTTTGGCTGAAGTATTTTTAAAGCAAGTCTTAGCGCCTCATTGCTCACTTGTACACTTCAATATACATCTCTAAATAATTATATCATTTTCTTTTGTAACCACAATGCCATTTATCACAATCAACAAATTTAGCAATAATGTAAAAATATTTAAGACATTTTTAGTGCTTCTATAGACACCATATAGTGCTTTTAGAGTGTGGTGTTTTTTTTTTCTTTTGCATAGCTGCAATTTGAGGGGTTTAATACCAAAAGTAAACTAGGAAGTGAAGGAGAGAGCCAAGGAATTCCTGAACAGTATGTATTATTATACATCAATGTAGTTGTAAACTTATCTCTATAGTTTAATTTATCTGAAAAATCTTTGTTTTTTCCCTAAGCATATTAGAGGCCCTATTTTTTCTAAGGAAGCCCAATTTTCAGATGGAAAGTTTTAGGGGCAGGGAATCCTAATTTTAAATCTCAAAAATATATCTCTCTACTCTGACAACTCATGCAATTTTATGGATCTTTCATTAATGCCTTTTGATATTCTTTCTACCAGGAAGAACAACGGAAAATAGAAGAAGAGAAAGAAAAGAAAAAAGAGAATGACATGGTATTTAAAGTATGGCTGCAAAAGAAAAGAGAGCAGGTCCTAGAAATGAGGAGAATTCAGCGAGCAAAGCAAATTGAGGACATGAATAGTAGAGTAAGTAAAACTTCTCTGTGAAAAGTAATTTCACACAGATGTGAAAGGTGAATTTATTTACAGAAGGGAGTCTGAATAGCAGACTGAGCACCTACGGAAGAAGTAGAAGAAGGGGTCCAAGAACTACCCTTGCAAGAGATGCAACATGCAGATGACTTTACAGTTAAATTCTAAGAAGCCCTGTAAAAATAAAATGGTTCCTATTTTATTCAAACTTTTATATCACAGAAAATGGAAAACTACCAATTTTTTCAAGATAGTATAACTTTGATATTCGGATAGGACAAAGATAGCACATGCACACAAAAACCCTACAGACTGGTCTCACTTAAGAGTAGACATATAGAAATCTTACGTAAAAGCTAACAAATTATTCAATTTTTAAAAATTCAAAACATACAGAAAACCCAAGAGAAAGTAAAAAATATCCACATCTCTACTATTTTTTAAAATTTATAAAGTAGAAATTGAAAATTCAGTCCTAAGCTCTTCCAGGCTCATCTCTCAACGATAATCACTTTTCACAGTGTGGTGCAAATCCTTCGAGGTCTTATTTATATTTACATATTTACAAGCCAAAAATTTATTATGCAGTTTGCTTTTTTTTCACTTTCTTCATCATGTACATATTTCTAGGTTATTATATTTAGACCTCTCTTTTCAAATAGCTTCATGGTATTCTACTGTTCAGAGGTAACTTAATTATTAAACCATTACTCATTTGTGGATATTTAGATTGGTTCCAATATTGTTTTATTAATTAACAGTGCTGTAGTGAACATATTCTGTAGAGCATCGATATTCTGTAGGAGAGTTTCTTAAGAGTAGACTTTATGATTTGTTGCATGTGCAGAGTGAAGTTTTTGGTTAAATATGCAAAATTAACCTCCCAGAAGGTGGAATCAATTTAAAATCCCTCTAATGGGGTGTAAGAGTGAATGTTTACTACACCCTGGGTAACATTGTATGTGGTTTGTCTTCTTAATTTTTCTTCAAGTTAATATGTTACGTGAGCGTATATGAGCATGTGTGTATTCTGTGAATTTCCTGTTTATAGTCTTATCTTTTTTTTCAGTTTTATTTTTCTTATTGTATTGATTTTAGAGATTTTAATCTTTTGTCTATTATATCTGTTGTAAATATGTTTTCCTAGACTGACAATATATTTTTTTACATTGTTTATTATGCCATTTGTAGAAGTTTTTAGCTTTTAAAATCTTGAGGTGGTCAGAACTTTTTCAGGCAAGACACAAAAACCGGAAACTAAAAGAGAAAATATTGAGAAATTGGACTGCAACTATATAGTAAAATAATAGTAAACTATAACGAAGTAGGGTTTATTTTAGGAAGGAAATTATGGATCAATAATAACAAATCTATTAATATAATTCATCACATCAGTAGATAGATAAAAAGAGAATATACAGTTATCTTGAAAGATATAGAAAAGGTTTTTATTAATATTTACTATAATTTATTTTTAAAGATTCCTAATAAAATATGAATTACACTATACATACTATCTTACAAAATACTATAGGCATACCCATTAAAGTCAGAAACAGGTAAAGCTACGCTCTATATTAAATAACTTCATTCTAGGAGTTCTAGCCAATTTATTAAGAGAAAAGGAAACAAGGTATAAGTATTAGCAAAGTGGCCTTTTACATTATAAATATACAAAAATTTATAGTCTTCTTATATCCCAGCAAAAACCTCATAAAAGAATATAAAAAGAGTAGGAATATAGGAATATATAAAACACTTTGAGCTAAACAGGAATGTTTAACACCTGTATGGAGAGTGCAATACAGCTTTGCAAGGGACCAAAAAGATGACTTTAGTAAATGAAAACAAATATAATATTCCTGGATGAATGGGCCAAATATTATAAATATATGAGTTCTATGGTAAATGAAAACAAATATGATACTCCTGCATGGATGGACTAAATATTATAAAGATTTGGGTTCTTCCAAATTTATCTTTATATTTAATGTAATTTCCATTAAAAGCTGATTAGGACTTTTAAAATTGTTGTCATAATTGTTAGTGTTACTATTAATATTTATATTATTAAAGCAAAACTTTTGCATTTTCCAATTGAAAAAAACGGGCAAAGGATATATATATAGTTAGTTCACATATGAATAAATACAGATGCTGTAGTATATGAAAAAATATGCAAATTTGGTAGAATCATAGAAATGCCAATTAAAAATTTTTCATGTATTTAATAAGTATTTTTTAACTGCTTACTATATGACAGATGCTGTTCCATGCTCTCAGGAATATAGTCCTGAGCAAAACAGGTTTAGTCTCTGCTTTATAGAGTTGGTCTAGTAGGGATTGAAAAATTAAAAATATATTCATAAAATAAATTTATAATTAGAAATAGTGATGAATGCCATGAAAAAGAAAAAGGAGCTATGAGAGATCCTAATGAGGAAAATAAATGTATATTGGTAGTTCAGGAAAGATTTTCCGAGTTAGTGAAAGTAGAAGTAGAAATGAGATAGGACAAGAATGGGAAGAATTTGTTTCAGGCCAAGAGAACACGTGAGAATGCCCTGACACAGGAAATAACTTGGTGAATGTGAGAAGATCTGGAAATTGAGCAGGAATCATATCATGTGGCACGTTGGAGTCTATAATGATTTTGTGTGTAATCCTGTTCTGGGAAGCCATTGAAATGATTTAAACAGAGAAATGTTACATTAAATATGCATTTCCACAACGTGACTCTGACTGCTATGCTGTGAATGGATTGGAGGGGGCAAGAGCAGATACAAGGAGTGGTTAGAAAGCAGGTATAGTTGTCTAGATGAGAAACGATGGTGACTTGGGCTAGAATTTATAACAGGAGAGAGAGAGAGATGTGAGAAATTTGAGATATGTTTTGGAGTATTAATTGAAGGAACTTCATAATTAATTAGATATGTGTGTGAGGGAGAAGGAGATGTAAAGAGAATACACCAGGTTTCTCTTCTGAGCAATCTGGTGGATGATGGTGCCACTCACAGGAGCAGTAGAGAAGTTACTGATTGGGGGAAGTGATCATTTCAGTTTTTAATTTGTTGAGTTTGAGGTACCTACAAAACATCCCCGTGAAGATGTTCAGGATTGACTGGAGAAATGTATCTAGTTTCAGTGTTCAGGAGAAAGGGTGAGACTGGAAGTATGAAGGAGAAGATTCGTGATTTCAAAGATGGAGTAGTTGTGGGGATGTGGATGTGGCTATGTTCAGTGGAGAAAGTCATAGAAGATGAGAAAATCAAAAATCTGTGAGGCTGGATGTTGAATGGTTCATCCATGTAGTTATAAATATTACTTAGGATTAGGATGGAGAGGAACGCCAAGCCAGGAGCAACCAGAGGTTGTTAGATTAATAGAGCCAAAAGGTGTAAATATCAAAGGAGTGTGGCTTTCCTTAGAAGAGTAGAGGAATATAGTTCTAAAGAAGTATGAAGGAGTAGAGAGTATATCAGCTTCTTCATATGACCTGTGGGGTACTTGAAGTATGGCAGAAAATGCAGCTTCTGTTTGAGAGAAGAAAGCTGTGTCTTGGGAGAGAATCAGGATTTGGCTAAGAGGGGAGGTTTAAGGCCAGGGCCTTTTCAGTGGCTTGGGAGTATGGGGGATGTTTGGGAATTTTTATATCATTGAATGGGAATTACAGAGAACAAGCTAGAAAGGCTTTTGGGGGAGGGAGGGAATTCAGGATTGGGTAGGGGAGAGGCACAGCATGTTGCTGTAGAGTTCAAGAGTGTAGAAGACAAGAGGAGCTTATGCTTTAATCAGTGACCAAGGAAATCACGGCTGTGATTGCACTGCTGATAGTTCCCAGGGGATGATGGATCTTCAGGCCTCATGGCATTCAGCCTAAGGTAATATTTTTATTGAGTGTTTGTAAAAATAAATGTACACTTTAATGTTCTATTGTGTTCTGTTTGGAGATAATAAACAGAAACTTTGAATTGTATTCTCTAAAAATATGAGCCATGTTGAAAAAAATTTATTTCAAAAAATTTGTATGTTAGAAGACATCATGGTTATGTATTTCCCTTTGGAATTTTTACTTTTTGCTATATTTCAAGTCTGTCTCAAAAATTAATATTAATGAGAAATTAAATCATAAACAAATAGTATTTTGTGAACCCTTGTGAACTTTTGTTTCTACTGAAGCTGAGCTGTAGTATAATTTGGCAATGATTAATTTGGCTTATTAACGTGTTGTGATCATAAGTGTATTTTGCTGGTTATTTCTGTGGAACATTGTGTATAATGTGAGTCATAGTGTCAGAAAATATTTGCAGAATATATAGATTGTGGAATCACCTATTTTACATTGAATTAAAAAAAGCTTTTAGTGATGGAATTTTTATTGCCATTTTAGGAGAAATAGCTAAAAATGTCTTTTCATCCTTGTTATGACCTTTGCTTCTCTTGGTCAGTGATATATATAAATGACATGTGTGTGCTATATGTATATACACACATGTGCAAACATATGTATGCGTGTGGTCAGTCTATCTAAGTGAACTCTCCACGGACACTTGCATGCATTGTGTATTGTGCATTTGGATATAACGTTGTATTGATGTCAGTGTGACCAAGTTGGTTCATAGTGTTGTTTAAATCCTCTATATCCTTACTGTTTTTCCCCTATTTGTTTTATGAATTACTGAGAAAGTTGTGTTAAACCTTCCAACTATCTGTGCACTTGTCTATGTCCCTTTTACAGTGTTGTGTATATATGATTTACGTTTATGATTTTATGTCTTCCTGATGAATAGCATTTTCACATTATGAAATGTCCCTCTTATCTTGAAGTCTACTTTGTCTGATGTTAACGCAGCCACACCAGCTTTCATATGCTTGACATTTGCATGTTATGTCTTGTTTCATATTTTACTTTCAATTTATCTGGGTCTTTATATTTAAAGAGTTACTTGTGCAAACAGCATATGTTTGGATCTTCCAATCTAGAAACCTACTCC